AACACTTTCCTCTTTTAGAAAGCTTTCCACCAAAACCAGAATGATGCTTAAACTGTCGACAATTCATCTTCCTTCATCTCAGAAATCCCAGTCCTTTTTATGACTGCAGTAGTGAGGGAGCCAGGGACTCCATGAGAGACCTTATTCCTGCCCCTCAGTTTTCCATGGAAAGTACTCAGCCGCTTCCGTATGTGTCCTAAAGCAGTCAGCTTTGGAAATATTTGGATTAAAATTGTAGAAAAGCTTAACTAGAATAAATATGTGGAACCTCTTATGAATTTGCTGTGGTATTGCTGACTTACCAGACAGAGCTGTGTACTAAATAAAGTCAGTAATTTGGTGGCCGGTCCTAACTTCTGCTGCTTGAAGCTGCCGTGCTGTTTTGTCCCAGCTATGGCCCTGTTTTCTCTCCTAATTTGTTGTGCTTGCTCAGTGAAACTGAATCCCTCGTCATTTCGGGCAAGTCTTGGAGAAGTTGTTTTCCTCAGTGCAGATGGCTCTTTCCTCCAGATGTGTCAGGCAGCGAAGAGCTGCCTCGTTATTTTCTTAACCCTTCTGCCCATCTTGAAATCGCGCTGACGCTACGGCCGCGGCAGTACCGTGGGTCTTGCCCCATATCCGATTTTCCTGTGACTATAAGCTGTCGTGCGTGTCAGTCACAGCATGCTCTGCACGGGCTCCTGCTACCTAACGTAGGTGGCTTTGGTTTGCTCCGTTTGTTTGGGAGATGTCCACGCTGGAAGCTCTCATGGCAACTTGGCTCCGGCAAGGGCGCAGCCCTTCGTGTTTGCGGCTGCAAGCCTTCCAGCCTTGCATCTTCAGCTCAACGCAGCCAAGGAGAGAGCCTGTACCCTTGCCGTTTCCCTTCACCCTGCTTGTTTCACTTGGGAACACAATGAGCTGTCAAAATTTCCTGCCCTGTTTCCACAGAATCCTTCCTTTCGCTCCAGAACGGATTATTTATCTGAAACTGCTAATTGCAGAAATTGTCAGAACAATTGTTTAGCTTGATTTTAAGGTGGAGAGCAAAGAGATTTAAGGGTCTGGTGGACTCATGAAAGTCACCCTTGAAGTCCTGTCAAAGTGAAAAAGAGGGTCTGGTGTGTTGCTGTGAATGGCCCTTGCCTCTCAGAAATTAAAAATCATGTGGTATGGTGTACGTCTGGTGCAATCCTTATTTTTAGTGTCTCTGTTGAACGTACTTGGAGGTAATTAAAAGTAATAAGGAAGAATATAAATGTTTTCCAAATAAGTGAGCCAAGCAAAAATGGAGGAAGGCAGGTGTGGTTGATTTAGCCCACCACTAGTTCCTAACTAATCTTTCTCTAATGATGTAGAAAGAGACTAGGTGGCACCTGGTGAAGTATTTTGAAATAACAGATTCATGAGGTAGAGCTACTTGATAACATCTTTGACTCATCAGAAACTTGCCTTCCCTGAGGGTAAAGTTAATAATCTTGGAATATCAGGATTTTAGTGGCTTTTACCAAGTCAGCGGGGATGCAGATTTGTTCTGCATATAGATTCCTATAGTGCTAGTGACAGTCCAAACTTTTATTATCTGTAAAAAATGTAAAATGACACAAATAGCCAACTAGAATAATTGGTAATTTTCCAAGACTTCAGGTCCTTGGCTTTGCTGGTGAGGTAAAACTCATTCACATTTTCTTAGCTTGAAGAACATAGAGCTGGTAGCAAGTTCATTGATCATCATGCATAGTACTTAACTATTTCAGATCATCTTTCTGTGTGTATAAAGCCCATGCTATCAGCTGCTTCAGTTGTTTTTATCTCCTTCTTCAGAATGAACTGCTTCTGAACATCTAAATGGTTCTTTTCCCACTCTGCTGCTTATCAACGGTGAGCATTACTCCAGAGTTATTTTCCTTTTATAAAACGTCTCTTTAGTGCTCTGATCATCTTCCTAGAGGTCCTTCTCCCCACTTTTCCAGGAGGAATTCGGCTTTCTCAGAGGCAATACTTCAGATGAACTTATACCAAGTGCTTTCACTAATGGCATAAACACCTTCCTTGCTTTCCCTCTCTACTGGAACTACCTTGCCTGAATTGTGTACGTACGTGTCTGAATTGGCTAGTCTGTAGTTCTGTAGGAGACATCAGCAGCACCATGAGAGGCAGCTGGACTACCAGTAAAATTAAAGCGGAAGTTGCAGGTAGCTGGGCCATGGAGCAGTTGGGGCAGAGGAGTGACAGTGGCAGTGAACTTCATTTAAAATAGCTGCAGCTGCGTTTACCTGCTGTCTCCCACTTTGTGTTATCATCAAGCCCCAGCAGTGCTCTCCCAGTTCTGTGCCAAGATCATCAGTAAAAAATGTTAAGTCTGTTCCCAATAGGAATCTTCTAAAGAACATGCAGTAATTGTTCCCAAACAAAAGTTTCCTTTCAGTGCACCTTGTTACCTTCTTACTTTTAGCCTTTTCCAACTTCAGGCTTTGTACTCATCTCTTACCTTTTCTTATATGTTTGGCAAAGTCTATGTGGTTGAAATGCACTACAGTATTGATTTTTTGTCTAACAGTTAGCTATTTTATTCAAGGTAATTAACTATCAAGTTTTATCTTGTATAATCTACTTTTACTAAGCCCACATGGTGTTTCCTTTTGTATTCCAGTTTACCTACCTTTGCTATTCTTTTCTCAAAATTTGGGGTCATACTATTAACATCAGAGTTAGCCAATTTTTTTTGATACGTAACTGTGTATGATTTTGTTATTCTCTAGTACTGTGGTACCTCTCTTGATCTGATAAATGTATTATTTCATGTCCAGTCAGCAAATCAGTCTTTCTGGGTTTACAGTATCGTATGTCTTGAATTTTTTCAAGATTTTTTGAGTTTTAATTTCTCTCTTTTTTTCCAAAGTATCTGTTGACTTAGTCGTGAGTAATGTGTGTTAATGCAGGGGAGTATTTGCAGTTTCCCGTTAATTCGTTGGTACATACAGAAAACCAAAAGCCTCAATCAAGGCATGCTCTGAATTTACACCCGTTCTTAATTTGCTGACGCTTCTATTAGCGACAAGCTCAAGCTTGCCTTGATTTTTTGGGCTTTATATAATGTGTACCGTATTGCTTGCCATTCTTGCTCCTTCTGCACCAATCAGCCAGTCTGATGGGTCTTCCTGTGGTGGAGAGCAGTGCTTTTAAGTCAGGGTGCTGCCTTACGTGACTCATGGGTGCTGATGAATCTTGCTTCGGTGTTTTACAAACTCTCCAGCTATTTGCTCCACATTTCTGCCCTTTACGAGAAGGATCGCAGGGGAATAGGTTTATATACCTTGGTTGCCACGAGCTGCATGTGATTTTAAACTGCTGATGAAGGTCGCCCCACTCTATTACCATGCCTTTGGAGCTCAACAGCTGAAGAGCAGGCAGAGGTTTGCACCTCCTGCCCTCTCTGTTGTGGGGTAAGTGGGGTCAACAGCAGCTTGAGTCGGTTTGGGCTGGTTCCTTAGAACCAGCGGTTGGCAAGCGGGAGCTGAGTACAGGGAGCACGCGTTCTGACACTGGAAACAAGAAAGCAAAGTGAAAGTAAGGACACGAGAAAATAGATTTATCTCTATAATCAAAAGTGACTGTGTTTGAAATATTCTTAATTTGAGTGCGCACGCTCCTGTGTCTTTCGTACCTCTAAGGACCCCTAGAGGGCACGGAAGTTTTTCTCCACCTCGAATATTTAACTTAATAATTCTACTTGGCTTTCTTCCCTTAAATGTAATTGTAAGCACATTTTAGGTGAACATTAGATAGAAAAAAATAACAGCATCTAACTAGGTCCTCCCTTTATGCTGCGCTGTGGTTTCTTGTTGGTAAACACAAGCAGTAGAAGCTAGCACTAGCAGCCAAATTCTTAAATTATTTTTGTTTAGATTAGTCAGAGGCTGTATTCTTATCCCAGAGGAAGCGCAATTCAAACTAGCTAATAATTCATAATTTTATTGCAAACTTTGAGAGACCTACAGTGTGGGCTGTCTGAGGAAGTGCAGTGGGTGTGCTTTCAGGAATATGGCCTGTGTTTCTGGAGAGGAGGAATCAATACTGTGAAAAACTTGGGTAGTCTAACCTGAATTTGTAAAATCTCCAAACTTTATCTTATTTAAGGTTTTTTAATATTTGAGTCTTGTTATTCGCTTATAAAGAAATTACTAAATTACATTACAAGATCTTTAAAGCTATGGAAATGTAAAAATGACATCTGCTTCCCACCGCTTCCTATGTATGTAGAGTGAGGTTTTGTAGCCCTCATTCACCCCGAGTAGTATTTTTCTTCTTAAATGCATTTTGCCTATTTCTTCAATGTTACATGATAAGTCAGGTACTAATCAATGTGAATTACACAGCGATACTAATTCTTAGTATTGTGTTGTCACTTGATGATATTTAAATTTACGTTCTAAGGCCCTGGAATACTTATCTGAGAACATCAGGTTTTGCCTAAATAAAGCAGCTTCAGTGCTTGAGGAGATTGCTGATGTTTTCCAGAATGCTCAAAGAGCAGTAAGTAAAACACAAACAAACAAAACCTAAAAAAAAAAACCCTTCATGTTTTGTTTGGGGATTTTTTGATCAACTCGTGATTTTGAGACCAGTTCCACAGCTTTGGAGGTTGGTTGGACTGTGAGCCCACTCCAAGGTTGAGACCTTTGTGTGTGATGCCATGACAGTCAGAATCCAACTGGTCTTGTCTGGGAAAAAGAATGAACCTCTACACTACCCTTGAAGCAGTGAGAGTCTACTTACTGGTGAGAAGCTGTTCAATAGAACAAATACGAGAGGGTTTGTGCCTTTGTTCTGACAAGAGGATCAGCTGTACTGCTTTACCCAATTACCCAGGGATGTCATGGGAGATGATTTTTTGGACCTTAGTTTTCCCACTGGAGGAGTGTAACGTCATCACTTTGAATAGAAAATAGAACTAGATCTAAACAGCCGAGAAAGGCAGCTGCCCCTTCTAACGTCTCTGGGGATTTTGTGTTTTGCAGGAGATGCACGGGTGAGAGGTCAGACAGGGGTTCTCTCCGAGCGCCGCGGCTCCTACCCGTTTATAGACTTCCGTCTTCTTAACAGTAAGTGCAACCCTTCCTCCAGGTCCGTATTTTAGTAAATAAATAAATAAAAGCCTGTATTGGAAGTATACGAACCAAAGTTTCTCATTCCGTACATATCTGTAGTTCAGCTGTCTTCCTACAGTCAGCGTTAATAATTATATTATTCCCACCCAGCGTTTGTGAAATATTTTGTTTGTGTGAATACTGTCCATAATTCTGAGCCTGTCAGGTAAATACAGTGGTTCCATGGGGTGTGCTGGGGAGGCAGGGGGTGCTTCAGAATTAAAAAGATAAACCTCTATGTCCTTTAGCCTCTTAGCCAACAGTTGGAACAGATTTATGTGAGTCTGTTATCCGGTCATATAGAATTGGCACAGAAGGGGAGCATGTGACAGCACTGACCAGTGGTTTACAATAACATTAATTTTTCCAACAATTAGAACCCAATCCAAAGCCCCATGGAGTCTTCCCATTGACGTCAATGGATTTTGGGTCAGGCCAGCAGTGAACATCTGTTAAAAATAATCTTAACCTCGTTTCGATTGAAGTTATTTTGCCACTGTTGTAAATAAAGGAGGGCAAATCTAAAAGAAAAAAATAAAATAAAAAAAAAAAGGAGATCCTGGGATTTTTTTTCACCTGAGGGATTCTCTGCACTGATGGAAACCCGTTAGCCAGTGTGTAAAAAAACTAAAAAACAGATAACTCTAGTCTTGGGCTCTGTAGCATCCAGTCTGGACACTGTGTTCACTCCAGTGTTCAGACACAGGCAGATCTAGATGTGTCCTGTGTACTGCACAGACCGCTCCATCTAAGCTTTGATTGAAAAGTTATTCACTGTCTTCATCAAACCAGCCTGAAACTCAGACAGTTTGTTTAGTGATGACACTTTTAATCTTCTAACAATTATGCTTTTCATTAAAAAGCAATTACCAAACCAAATATGTCTCTTTTTTTTAACTGCTTTCCCGAGGGCCTGGGGAAGGGGAAGGGAGGGAGGTGGAAGGGAGAGGGGCAGAAGCCCACCTGCAGAGGGTGAGATCTGGCTGGGAGTCTGGAGAAAAGAGGGACTTGTAGGAAGGGGAGGACTTGGGCTCTGATTCACCCAAGCTGGCAAAGTTACAGCCATCTGGCAAAGTTCTTGCTTTCAGTCTTGCTGATAAAAGGTATTTTCTAGGTCATAGGTTCATTGGAGTACTTGCCATGGCTGAGGTAGAAGGACATAAGGGATAAGATGGGTCCAGCAATTTTCCCAGGACAAAGAGGGAATAACGTTGAGCAGAGGTCTGAGGATAATTTAGTGCTGGCTTGCCAATGAAAAATGTGAAGAAAAACCTGTTTTTAGGTTAGCTGGAAGTATTACTGTTGATGCCTTTATAAAGACTGAGAGAAAATAAAATGCATCTTTTCATTCATAAAGTAGAAGTGAATATATATTCACATTCAAGTGTGACTAAATTAATTATTTCTTTTTTTTTAATACATACAGATTTTTTAAAATTCTCGTTGTATGTTCTTATCTTCTCCCTGGTTAAAGAAACCAAAACTTCTCAGCTTTTTTTCTGGGAGTAGGGCTTTCACTTTTATCCCCTGTAGATGAATCCTGCCAGCCTTCAGATCCTGCCAGCTTCAGGGAAGTGCTGGTGCTGCCCGTTGTTCTGCCTAGGGAGAGATGCATGGCGAGAGGTGACCTGGTGAATACTCAGCCAAGGGGAAGGGCGCTCTGCATAGCCCCTCTCCTGTAGCTGCTGGACTTAAAAGCAATGCTTCCTTCTGTACGCACCTCGGGTCCCACGGAGGAGGAGCACCGGGAGTTTTACGTTCCTGTGCCCTCTGTCCTGGGGACATCTGACTTATTCTTTATTTTTACTGCTTTTCTGTAATCTGAAAGAAGTCGCTACAGCTGATCATGATGTCTGTGTAAGGATATTGTGTCCAGTTGTGGGCCCCGCGGTTCCAGAAGGACAAGGAACTGCTTGAGAGAGTCCAGCGCAGGGCCACAAAGATGATGGAGTGGAGCATCTCCCTTCTGAGGAAAGGCTGAGGGAGCTGGTTCTCTTGAGCTTGGAGAAGAGGAGACTGAGGGGGGACCTCATTAATGTTTATAAATATGGAAAGGGTGACTGTCATGAGGATGGAGCCAGGCTCTTCTCACTGGCATCCAATGATAGGACAAGGATATAATGGATATAAGCTGGAACATAGGAGGTTCCTCTTAAACATGAGGAAGAACTTCTTCCCGGTAAGGGTAACAGAACACTGGAACGGGCTGCCCAGAGAGGTTGTGGAGTCTCCTTCTCTGGAGATGTTCCAAACCCGCCTGGACGCGTTCTTGTGTGATCTGGTCTAGGTGGTCCTGCTCCGGCAGGGGGATTGGACTAGATGATCCTTTGAGGTCCCTTCCAATCCCTGACATTCTGTGATTCTGTGACAAGCAGTGATGCTGATTGGGGATTTCCCACTATTTTCAGGTTTTTATGTATTTGCTGCTTTCTGCCTAGGGAGTGATGTTGGCTTAATTTTTCAGTGCAAAGTGAGATTTCCAGGCACTTGACTACTAATTTTGTAGATGGAAGTGCACTGGGCCTGGCTTACTGGGTCACCTACCGATAAGTGAAGATGCTCAGTGTCAGAGCATGCAATCGTGTTTTGCCAGGAAGTAGAGAGATACATATTATTGGTTCGTATACATCTATCTGTCAAATCCATTTCTGCAGACTTTTTTGAAAAGTGCCTAACTAATGCTTACAGTAAGATTTTGGCACCATGTTACGTTTTTTGGGGGCAATAAATGCCAGGCAGCAACTGTGTACTGAAAGCTGTTACAGTAAGGGAGGGTCAAGGCAGAGAAAATTTTATGGTAAATATCCTCTAAAGTTATAAAGAAGCGCAGCGTAAATATTAGTCCAGCTTCTCACTAATTCAGAAGAGCTGAGCTTAAATAGCAATAGTTTCCTCTACCATCTGAAATATCACTCCCAATGACAGTACCACCCTTGTTTTAAAGTAAGGGAAGACACTGAAGCTCATTCTTGAGCAGAGTTGACATTCATTTTGAAAATTGACATTTAAAAAAAAAAAAATCAGAGCATTGCTCTTTAATGTCAGACTAAAGGCTACTTACATGTAGCTTTTTTAACATACTTACAGATTCAGTCAAACTAGTGGATTTTTCCCTACTACGGCTATTAAGGGTTAACACTGAGTAGACCAGATCTTTTATTTTTTCTGGAGTCCTGCAGTAAAGTCACTGTGTAACTTAAGACATGGTTAAGTCATTTTGGATAGGAAAACTTCCTGCGCTCTGAGAATGGGATCTTCTGTAGCCTTCATCAAAGCCAACTGGATTAATGTTGACTTCTTGCTGTTTGAGCTAACATCTGCGATGCCATCTACACATTCCTCCGGTGCCTTTCTGCAATGTAGAGAAAGTTAGGGAGTGTTCCTTCACCTCGTCAGTGCCAGGCTGTCAGGACCGTGAGGATTTTGCAGGATCCTGTCTGGAGGAGATGCAAGGCTTTAGCATCTCCCTATCTTTTCTCTGCCTAGTTGTAAGCTTTCCTTGAGGTGTAGTTGCACTGGTGGGTTTTGAGACTCTTAAGATGATTCTGAAATACAAAATTGAATGTAAAATATCCCCACGCCACCAAGAACAACTCAGTTTTGCATTGCGAGGAGCGTATGTTTGCCTCAGCCTTCTGGGTCGGTCCCTGCAACTTCTGGAGACCTGTATGACCAGCCAGATACTCGTTTTCTCTTCTACTCGTACAGGTAAGGCGTTCCTTGAAATGGGAACAGTAGAATTAAAAAAAGACTTAACATTAGAATCTTGTTTTCCAGGAGTAATGGAATGCAATAGGCAAGTGTTAGGTGCCATTGAGCAGCTGAATACAATGTATAAATGGTTCAAGGCTGATTCCAAACCAAACCTCACAAATTTTAGTAAAGTTTGACTCTCAACACGGTAGCTGTAGCTTGCAACTGAACCTAATGCAGGTTGAAATTAATCATGGAATCACAGAATCATAGAATGGTTAGGGTTGGGAGGGACCTTAAAGATCATCTAGTTCCAACCTCCCTGCCATGGGAAACCCTCCACTACACCAGGCTGCCCAAAGCCTCATCCAGCCTGGCCTGGAACACTGCCAGGGATGGGGCATCCACAACTTCTCTGGGCAACTTGTTCCAGTACCTCACCACCCCCAATGTAAGAATTTCTTCCTTATATCTAACCTAAATCTCCCCTCTTTCATTAAATCCATTGCCCCTTGTCCTATCACTACACACCCTTGTAAAAAGTCCCTCTCCAGCTTTCCTGTAGCCCCCTTTAGGTACTGGAAAGCTGCTATAAGATCCCCCCGGAGCCTTCTCTTCTCCAGGCTGAACAGCCCCAACTTTCTCAGCCTGTCTTCATAGCAGAGGTGCTCCAGCCCTCAGATCATCTTCGTGACCCTCCTCTGGACTCGTTCCAGCAGCTCCATGTCCTTCTTGTGCTGGGGACTCCAGAGCTGAACACAGTATTCCAGGTGGGGTCTCACGAGAGCTGAGTAGAGGGGCAGAATCACCTCCCTCGACCTGCTGGCCACGCTGCTTTTGATACAGCCCAGGATACAGTTGGCTTTCTGGGCTGCCAGCGCACATTGCCGGCTCATGTTGAGCTTCTCATCCACCAGCACTCCCAAGTCCTTTTCCTCAGGGCTGCTCTCAATGATCGCAGTTTATTGGCACTTTTACATTTCCGTGAATTAAATGAACCTTTTCGTGTTCACAGAACAGAAAAGGAGTGAAACTGAATATGTGCAGTATAATAATTCAGAATTTGAAGCACTTCTGCAGTGAAAATTAACTTGATCCAATTTTCCTTTTAGCAAAGCATAGTCTGGATTTGAGAAACAAAGGGGTTGTAGGATAAGGCAGCAATAATTTAGTTTTCTGATTGACAAAGTCGCTTAGTGAGTCATTGAACCGGATCCTTCCACTGACTAATATGCATTGATTAAAATGGATTTTATTATCCC